ACATACCATGTTTGTCTTTTTGTGATTGGGTTACCTCACTCAGGATGGTTTCTTCTAGTTCCATCCATTTGTGGTTTTTCTTTTTCAGTTTGTTTATATGGTGGATTACATTGATGGTTTTTCGTATGTTGAACCATCCTTGCATCCCTGGGATGAAGCCTATTTGATCATGGTGGATGATTTTTCTGATATGTTCTTGGATTCGGTTCGCCAACATTAAATTAACCATATTAGTTTCCTATGAGCTATTACAAATTATATAAACTTTGTTGTTAAAAGGAGTAGAAATTCATTTTCTTGTTATAGAGGCCAACAATCCAAGATGAATAGAATATAAGTCAAAAATGAAGATATCAGCAATGCTGTTTTCTTTAGACACCCCAGGGAAAACTCATCTTCTCTATTTCTTTTGTTTCTGGTACCAGGACCTGACAACTTTCTTTGACCTCTGGTTCCATCACTGCTCACTCCCTTCTACTGTCACATTGCCTTCTCCTTTTCTGGAGTCAGTCTGATCAGCTTCCCTCTTACTGATATGTGTAATTACAGTTAGAATCCACAGATAATCTAAGTATTTTAATCTGCCCCATGACTTCAGCTTCCTTCATCCTAACTAACATTTACAGGAACCAGGGGTTTGAACATGTGCATTCTTTGGTTCATTAGTTGGTGCACTACAGTGACCACTACAGACTTCTCTAATGCTAAAACTTTAATCAAATTGAGTCTTAGTTTATGATTATTAATAATTATCTGAATTCAGAGTAGCACAATAGTGATATCATGTGTCTTTAATATAAAAAATATGTTCTCTCTCTCAACATTTACCCCTCAAGAAAAATGTAATAGCTGGTGTATCTGAAAGCTAGGGTATCAAGTAGGAGCATGGTTTGAGAGGTGCTGGCCAAAGGGCCATCTGAAATAGGATGTAGAGGGAGCAGTGTTCATTGACAAGATATAAAAGCAGTGATAGTCTCTTCGGATGGACCAGCTTAGGACCTCAGATGCATGAAAAAGACACAATAGCTAATGATGCTTCATGCAGATCAAATCAACCTTAAAACATGCACTCCAGATTGCTATTACCCTACCTCCCGAGGAACTTTTCAACTTTAGGGGTACCTAAGCCTCTATTATATTTATTTATTACTGCCTTGTTTCTGTATGTGTGTGTAATAGTGTGGACACACATGGCGCATATAAAAGTGAGAGGATATCTTTCAGAAATCAGTCCTCCCCTCCTACCAGGAGTTCCAAGGTTCTAATATTAGGTGTCAGGCTTTTACCCGCTGACATATCTCACTATCAAATATTCTTGCATATTGTCCATACAGGTATAACAGACTTCATTCTGGGTAAAATGGACTTCCAAGTAAAGCATAGCCACTCCCTGGAATTGTCTATCCTAGAGAAGGCACAAGGGAGGGATTAATTAGGCAAGGGAAACTACATATCCTGTGCCTTCTAGGATCAGGTGGAACTTCTGGGCTCAGCATAACCTGCTCTTTTTCTGAAGTGTGTGCTCTGGTTCCTAGTTTGCTCCACTTTAACTCTTGACTGGTTTATTACCATGTCCTTTCTGAATTCTTCCAGAGCACAAATGGGTTGAAACCAGAGGGAATTAGAGACCTCCCTAAGACAATTGGATATTGGTGGTGCTGTAATTTTGTTGATATCTTATTGTAGTTTAATATTTAATACTCACTATAACATATAAAGTTATATCAGTAAGTAACAAATATCTTAAAATATATTTTCATTGTGATCACCATCTATATCATTTTCTAAAAGATAACCCTATCGAGATTAAATGAAATCAATAGAAAACTAAGCCAATTGTGCATGGAGTGGTCATAGATCCTGATCCTACTAATGCCATCTTCCTAAATCAATATAATTTCTGACTGTATTCTAAATACACCTTATATCCACAGATGAATGTAGCTCTCACTGCTCATCAAATTAGTTTCTTTTTGAATCAAGTAGAGACCATTACAGAGGTGTTCAAGTGATCAAAAACAGAAAATAAGTGACCATGTGGTGTCTAGCCCTAATTGGTACATCTGCAATGTAACCCCTACACCTAAAGCTCAGGGGAAGATTGTAAAAGCCAGAGGACCAGGACACCTGCTGTGAGGCAGTGTCTTCTGACATGTCCAGCATATTAAGAATACATGTAGACATGCCAGTGTGGACAGGGAAAAATTTTCCAAGGTTTTATCCCTACCTAAACAGCTACAAGCAACCAATGTCTGCTGAGAAATGGAGAACCAGTTTTCTTCAAGGTTGAGCTCCCTGATAGGTTATCCAATCCTAAGTGGGTAGTACTGAGAGCATGTATAGATGAGCAGCATTAAACTGATTCAATAGATAATATATGTTTGAGAGGGAATAGGGGGCACAGGAGGAGTTGGAAGAGAAGAAGCAGGCATCTGGTGAAATTCTTATAAAATGTTTAAATTTACATTTAACAAAAGAAACTGCTAGTCAAACACTGCCTTGTTAATCTTATCCCTTGTTCAGGAATGTTTGCAAGTGCTACCAGGTAGACTCATTTTTTAGCTGTTTTTTTTCCTTTGTTTGCTTGTGTTCTTCAATTAGAGTTACAAAAAAAAAACAATAAAATGGCTAAAAGAAAGCTATTGAAGGGGAGACGCGCACATCTTCATCATTTCTTTGCTATTACTATTATTATTATACATAAAGTATAAACATCACCTAACATGGCTCCATTTGGTCAGGTGTACCCGGATTATTTGTCACAAGCTATCTATGCAGCATTCCAGGAATCATTTCCAGAATCTAGTAGCCTCTTCAATAATGAGTTTAAAGAAGATCTAGGAAATACTATTTTTCTGTGGTTATCAGGTATGAATATGTCATTTAAGTATTGATTATTTGGTTCTATTATTTTTAGATTGAATAATTTTGCTCCAATTAAAACATTGATGATTTACAAAACATGCCATACCAATGTCTGTCTTAAAATGGTCATCACTTTACTCTGAAATTTTCATTATCAAAAATAAGTATTTATTAATATATACTATTAGCTTTATTAATATATAAAGCTAAATCAGTTTTTGTTTTGTTTTGTTTGAGATAGGGTCTCTCTACATAGCCCTGGCAATCCAGGAACTCACTATGTAGACCAGGCTGGCCTAGAACTCACAGAGATCGACCTGTCTCTACTTTCTGAGTGCTGGGATCAAAGATGAAGAAATGAATGATGTGAGCAAGATTGTAGGGAAGGAAATACTGTTGTCGTCTAACAACAAAAATTAGCTCAGTTATCTAGTCACGAACAAAAGTAGCCTGAAGGAAGGCTTGGGAATTCCATTAGAAGCTGCAGGAAAACAGTAGAAGGGAGGAGGAGGAGGTGGTGGTGGTGGCAGAAGCAGCAGCTGTAGCACATGGAGAGGTCAGCATATGTAAAATATAGAGTACTAAGAACCAATGAGAATGGTGGAAACCATCAGGAGCAGGATGTGGAAAGTACTACTATGGTCCCCGGTGATTGGATTTGCAATGAACTATAGCAGCTGTGCATCTTCAGGAGCTCTCCTACACCCTCTCTCAGTACTCACCAACTCAGACCTCAGTACCTTTACAGATACTTCGGTGACTTTTGCCATTGAGGTACCTATTGCTGTGGAGGACTTTCCAGAGAGACTTGTGCTAAGCTGCCATTCCTAGAGTCACTATTGGGCTGCCTCAGGACCACCACCTCCTCAAACCTATACATACCCTAGAAATTGAGATACTGCCTCCTATGTGCCCACCTATATACCAGGCCGTGGCTGTGTTAGCAGTGTGCTTCCTCAACATTCACACATGATGACACAACTATAGAGAACTAGCCTTCACACTGAACCTTAGAGCCAATGTTACTTTACATATGCCTGAGCTAGTTGATGCTGTGGGTGTGAGAGCCACTGCTAATAGCGAATGCATCTACAGTCCAGACTTCTGAGAAGCAAAGAACCTGCATGTGTCTGTACTCTGGAGCCTAGATTCTAGGGCAAACTCCAGAGATAGTGTCACAATGAAAGCACTGAATCTTAGCACATGAACTGGATCTTAGGTACATAATTCTTCACACACATGCCCTGCGGATCTCATCTCTGTTGTGCTCCACAGGTAACCCAGAATCACACACTATTACAAAATTTTCGCTCCCTCCCATTCTGGGATTCTGGGATCTCAATTCCCTAAACTGCTACTATTCTGTGTCCTATAGACCCAGAGCCAGTGCTGTAGCACATGGTCCTTTAGGGTGTTTAGCCATTGCATCTCCATATCCCCAGGCTTTTTCATCATAGTGGCATGCTAGACCTGTGCAATAATCAGTCCTGCTAGAGCCCTACCCTGGAACTACTCCAGAGCCATTCCACACTCCCTTCACAGGCACTTGTGCCCACAGTCTCTGAAAACCTGAGATGACCTCATATTTAGTCTTCTAGGGACCCAGATAATTAGCCACCAATGCAGTAAGGCCTCCTGGTGACCATGTAAAGTGTTAAGCCCCTCTCAAGAATCTTGGCTAACAAGGGAAGTCACAACTTCTGAGTCCAAGGTCATCCAGTACCATGCATGACCTATAAACTGTGCCACCCACTCTCCAGGCAAAACTCCCCTGCTCCCCACCTCTTTAGCGCAGGAGTAGGTGCCCACAAAGCCTCAGCTTTTAGAGCAGTCCACATTCCCACTGAGTAGTACCATTCTTGCTCTACCAGATGAAGAGGCATCACTGAAAGTACTAAAGATGAGTAGAAGAGGAAGGAAACATGACACCACTGAAGGAAAAGAATGGTTCTCTAGGAACTGAACCTGAAAAACTAAAGTTAGATGTTGCCAGAAAATGAAGTAAAAAATGATTGTCTTACAGAAATCCAGTGAAAAAAAGAACAGGGAGAGGGTTGAGTGAGAGCAAAGGGATGACTTATGATCTGCACAGAGTTAACAAATACATGGACATGATCTCTAAAAGATCCAGACTGAAACCTTAGAGCCAAAAAGTTTAAATTAGAGAACTTCACTGTTGATCACAAAAAGCAGAAAAAGAAAATGTGACTTGAAGACAGACCCTTGTAAATTACACAGAGGGAAAAAAATTAGATGAAAGCCTATGGGATTCATAGGATACACTTAATGAACAAATTTCTACATTATCACAGTTCCAGCTTGAGAAGACAGATACATGAAAAGATAATATTCAGTGAAATGATTACTGAAAACATCCCAAGTCTGGTGATGCACTGGTGAAACACTGAATCAAATACAGAGAAATCTCACCAGACTATAGGGACTTCTCAAAAGAAGTCTTGTATGCTAAGAAAGGGGTGATATATTTCCAGTGATGAAAAAAAGTCAGCCAAGAAGACTTTACCTAGCAAAGCAGTCCTGAGATAATGAAGGAGAAATAGTCTTTTACAGACAAGCGATGCTTGTCACATTAGACCCAGCTTACAATAAATGATATTTTTTTGAGACAAGGTTTCTCTGCGTAGCTTTGGAGCCTATCCTGGCACTTGCTCTGGAGACCAGGCTGGCCTTGAACTCACAGAGATCCACCTGCCTCTGCCTCCCAAGTGCTGGGATTAAAGGTGTGCGCCACCAACGCCCGGCCTACAATAAATGTTTTAAGGAGTCCGCCTGCAGAAATGAAAGCACTGTGTGCTCACCAGTGACCTTGGGTAGCCCCACTCCTCCAAGTACATTATTAGGTTGGTTCCACTCCATGCTTGCAGCTTTCTCAAGCAAACAGCTAACATTTCTAACATCCTAATATCTCTGCCACAGCTTAGACTTCACCTTCACAATTTCATGTGACTGTCTCTTGGGGTCTCCTTGAAGGGGATCCAACCCTGCCACACATTTCCTGACCTTATTAGCTTTCTGGTACTTGGCACAAGTTGTCACCACCCCTCATCCTTGTATCTTGCATCCTATAGAATCAGTCCCATGTGGCTACTCACTCCAAGTGCTACTGAAAGTCAGGATATAGGCTGGCACCCTTCTGCCATTGCTACTGTGTTCTCTGCTTTTGAGACTGGAAAAACTCATTCTTAGTTGGTTATTTTTGAGCAAAAACTAACTGTGGTGGCATTCTCAGTTCAGGATCTCTCAAATGACTTTCGTTTTTACAAGCTAAAGCCAAAAATGGATGGAGTCTTGCCTGCCTGTCAGGGCACTTTTCCTTTTGTCCCACTGCAAACTGCAACTTTCCTCTTCTCGCCTCATCTCATATGAATAGAACCAATGATGTAGAAACAAATGGTGATAATAAGGCCTGCCCTATCAATGATTACTTTGAATGTAAGTTGATTGAGTTCTCCAATCAAAATACATAAAGTATATTTCAAAAGAAAGGAAGAAAAAAAGAGGATAATAAGACTCTAGCTTATGGTACCTATGAGATACCCACTTTAACTTCTGTGGACAGACTGCTGCAAGCAGAGGGATTGAAGATATTCTGTGTGTGAGTGGCAAGCAAAGGGGAGCAGGGTTAGCTACACTCACACCAGATAAAGCAGAAGACAAAAATGCCATTATTAATAAGGGGTTGGTTTATCAACAAAACATAATTAGCAAACTCAAAACATTTAACTACATAAAACAAATATTAACTGATGTGACGAGACAGATGAGTAGATGGTGTCAATACCACACTTACAACACGGGTTTTGCAGCCAGACAAAAGATTAACGAGGGAATGCTAGCCGTGCATTATACTCTAGGTCAGAAGGACCTAAATTACCACCACATTCAGTTCTACTGGGGCTGCTCCACAACAGCTCATCACAGCTGGGCCTGGTGAATGTTCACTCTCCCTCCCAAAAGAAGGAGATGGTTAGGGTCATGGAACACTTATCTGAGTACCCAGCCACCCTTCCCAATCAGTTGTCTGCCTTTCTGCCTAATTGCATGTGGCCTTCAGGACTTGGGAGAGTAGCTAGAAGATACAGGTAGGAAATGATGCTACATCTATGCAGCCATGGAGAAGCCATTGTTGTTGGGTGCAAAACTTCAGTGTGTCTGCTTTAAGGTCACCCATACTCCTACCCATAACCCCTCACCCATTACTTTGTAAGTGAACCTGCTACACCCTGTAGTCTCCTGAGTGAACTTTGGTAGAATACTAATTTGGTTTGTTGATGGGGCCGTCTGAGATCTTAGATAAGGTGTATGTATCACCCAGGAAAGGAATCTTAGCAACAAGAGCATAGACGGAAAATGTTGTACCTTAGATTAGGGCATAGTTTCTTAGATGTGAAACAAAAATCATAATTCAAAAAAGAAAATCTTGGTAAACTGGATTTAATTAAAATTAAAATTTAATCTATTCAGAAAGTACCTTAAATAGAATAAAAAAGAAGCAATAGCCTGGACGAAGTATTAACAAAATTCAGGGGAAAAAAACTAACAAAAGAAAACAAACAACCTCCTTTTGAAAAATTGGCAAGCCAGGTGTGGCACATGCCTACAATCCCAGCACCTGACTGTCTTGTATACAAGGATCCAAGTTCAAAATCAAAATAAATAAATAAAAATAGAGGGAATATTTGAACAAAAGGCATGATCAGATAAATTACATGAACCCAAAGAAACAATCTCAAGTTGCTAGCACAGCTGTAACATGAATAATAAAATCCCAGAGACAGATATTGGGGATCAAGCTGAAAGATCAGAAAAGCAAAGCAGCCAGCCACTAGCTCTTACCTCTACCTCAGACCACATGGATGATGCAGTCTCTATGAATCCTCAGAGTACAATGCTGACTTGCACTGCTCTCCACCAAGCCTCAGACTGAAATTCCTCATTATGGCTGGAGACTAATTCTCACATAAGACCCTTTGCTTCTTTCTTTTATACCTCTCAAATCCTGTAATTAAAGATGTGGGATCCCAAGTGCTGAGATCACCCTTATGTGAGCTGTTTCTGTTTTAGACTGGATCAACTTCGTGTAGGTCAGTATGGCCTTGAACTAACAGAGATCCGCCTGCCTGTCTCCTGAGTCCTGGGATTAAAGGTGTGTGCCACCATTGCCTGGCTCTATGGTGTGGCTAGCTTTGCATTTTGATCTCCAATTGCTTTATGAGATCATAAACAATATATCGCTATACACAGCTGTAATAATTCAGGAAGAAATAGACAGTTCTAGTGATTGAGAGAGGCAAGCAAAAACCCAAATCGAGGAAAGATATAACAACATAATTAACAGTATGAAGTAACGACTATATAGAACAATGAAAATGAAAAATACAAGTAACTTTCAAATACAGAAAGCATGTATAAAATCTCCCCATATAGTAAGCCAAAAATCAAATGTTCCTCCTCACAAGGGACAATGTAAATTAAGCACAGCATGTTGAGTCATTGGATGGAAGGCAATAAGTTAGACATATGATCAAACAAAAGTATCTTTATGCATATGAGAAATAAGAAATACGGGTTCAGCTTCAAAAATAGCTGAAGTAGAACATCAATCATGATGAGCCCCATCAGATGAATGGATAACAAAAATGTCATGGACTTACAATAAAGAAACTACTACTCAGCTATTTAAAAAAATGAAATCTTGCCATTTGCAGCAGCACAGACGGAACTGGAGGTCAATGGGTGTTTGAAACAAGCCAGTCACAGAACAGCAAATACCGTATGTTCTCACTCACTTGAGGAAATCAGACCTGTTTCTTTATAACAGCACAATAGAACAGTGGTCACAAAGTCTGGTAGGCATAGAAAGAGACTGGATCAGGAGCACCAGAACCAGAAGGAGAAGTCATAGCTAATTCTTCATCAGCACAGTAAAGGAACTATTGGCTGAAACAACATATGCTGTATTTCAAAATGACTAGAAAAACATGAAATTTTCAACATACAAAATTATTAATGTTGGGATGGACAGAAATGTTTTACCCTGATTTATTATATATTGTATACATATATTGAATTATGATGTTCCCCATAAATATGTACAAATTCAAAAAGAAAAATATTTTCTTAAATAATCCAGTGTCCAAGGAAGAAATCATAAAGAAAATTAGAAAAAAAAAAGCTGACCTTGGTTAAAAACAAAACTAAATATTTTGGTAGAGCATGTGTGGTAGTTCTTCCAGGGTAATTTCTGGTCTTTGATGTATATTCTAAGAAATGGAGAAGAGCTGAAAAACAATCTATGCCCGCACATCTATCTTGTGAAAGAAAGTGATCCTTCTCTTCTCCTTTTAGGTTTCAGTTCCCTATACTATATCCAAAAAGAAAACTTAAAAAATCCAGAGAAGAGAGAAGCTAGGAAGTGCATTTAAAATTCTCATCTTTGAAAAGACTTGACTTTCCAGTTTGGAAGACAATAGGACAAAGAATAAACAGCGAAGTGCTGCAGATTTTACTGTGAATTTTCAGAACCCTGAAAACAAAAAGAAAATACTCAAAACTTCCAGAGAATAGAGAGATCAAAAGACAGAATGCCACTAATCTCTGACCAGCATCTCTGAATGTCAGGATAGAATAGAATAATGTCTCAACAACTTTGAGGGAAAATTATCCATAACTTACACCCAAACAAACTGTCAGTGAGGCTAAGGATGAAGTCCAGGCATCTCTGAGATGTGCACATCTTTTTCAGAAAGTTACTTTGAACTCCTCTTATTCTTATGAAGCTAGTATACTGATAACTAACAAAATATGGAATGAACAAAGGAAGAGGAAATGAGATTCTCGAAGCACAGCATGTGAGAGGCGTATTCTTCAACATAATGGTGCTGGGCACTCCCAGAATAATGGCTGTACATTAAGTCTAGTGAAAAAATGTTCATATTAGAGCACATCTGACAGCTTTGGAGGAGAACCAACACATTATCACACACACACACACACACACGCACGCACGCACGCACGCACGCACGCACGCACGCACGTACGCACAGGTAGAGTTTATCACAGAAACAGAAAGGTGGTTTATCACCAGACTATATTAATCATGAATTGTGTCTTTTACATTTTATATTTTAACATCCAAGAGTATACCCTTCTTGGGGTCAGACTGTTTCTAGAAATGGTAAATAATTATAGGTATAATTATTCTGGCTCAACCAATGTAAAGCCCTGTTCAAAACCACTCTCTCTTTTTACTGGATTCTTAATCCAGATGTTTGACATCCTAGGAGCAGGTGCCAAGCAACTGGGGTGAGCCCTGAGCCCTGGAGCCTGATGGAATGATCAAATAAATACCTTTAAAAATGTAGCAAGGCAGTTGCCATGCCCTTGGGGTTCTCTCATGGCCGATCTGAGTCTTCCTACTGTGGCCCTCTGTAGTGTGGCATACTTCTCTTGCAAGCAATGAAAAATAAACAACCCTGCCTTAATCAGCTACCTGTTGGCCTTACTATACAACAGACTTTCTATTAATACCTAGTATTTTAAAACATAGTCAACCTGTCACTAGCACTCAGCAAGTGAAATGCAAATCATCTGTATATTTTATACAGTGGCAACTAATAATAAAAATGAACTGGTATCTGTATCTAAAGAGATGTAGAAAGATCTACTTTGTCAGTAAGATATGATTGGCTAAATATACACATTATATTAACAGGTCTAAAGCCTAAGCCCGGCTTTTACACCCAATGGAAACTAAAAGAACTCAATAAAACCACCATACATGGCTGCAGGCGAGCATCATTGAAATCGTTGAAAAAGAAGATCTTTTCCAGCCAGGAGCGCATAGCAGCCAGTAAGCAAATTTGACAACTAGATGTGAAAAGGTAGCCAAAGTTAAGTATAGTAGGTCAGTTATTAGTCCTGTTTTTCTAACAATTCAATTTTGTGACAGTCCTAGAATATCATTTGATCTGTATATTGCTTCCTTAGGGGTGTGTCTTCAGGCCTTTTCCTGTTCTCCTCCGGAGACACTTTTATGTCAGTTTTTAGGACTATAGACCTTTCTCATTTTAGGCTGTGTGGTTAACCAGGTGGCAGTGTGTCTTGCCAGTAGAGAAGTTTAATGTTTTTATTTGGTATATGTAAATATTTCCTTTAGAGTTTAAGTCTTGTTGCATTTTGTCAATACTTACCTAAGATTATCAAAAGGCTGACATGTGTTTTTTTTTCCTAGTGCTTTTTTGCTTCTATAATTGACTGACTTACTCAATCCATTTGGAATTTATTTTGTGATAAGGAATCTGGTTTTCCCACTTTTTCTTTTCAAAATTACTAATTTATTAAATAGTCCACTTCTAGGAAAATTTAAATACAAATTTACTTTGATATATCTTTGTATTTTCTCCTGTTTCTTGAATTCTGTGTGCAAAACTACTATACAAAAATCAAAACTACTAATGACCTCAATTAATGAACTTTTTAAGGCAAATTTATCTCTCTTCTATTTATACTATAACTCCAGTACTAGGCATAGCCTTGGAATTCAGGCTTCATTTCTGATGAGCTGAGTCAGAACCAAGGCTCTTTGATTGATTTCAGAGTATGGTGTGGAGAGAGCTCCCCATCCAGTATTTTCTTTGAAATACACTGGGAAAGAAGGGCTGACCTATCAACCTGCTCTTGAGGAGTCTAATGTATGATGCTACAATTATTTAACTAGTTAATTGCAGCTTTTTGGATCTGTACATTTGAAAGTAATTGATCACAAATGGAAAAATGGTTTCCTACTCTTAGCTGTATAAATATCATTGCATATGATTCCTATCTATTAGTAATTATAGGAGATTGCTTGTTTGCTATTGATACCCTTTAATGAGTTTTCTAGAATGCCATACATAAACCAGAAAGGACCTTAAAAGTCAGAAGTTGATGCACAAAGTTAAGTATTTTTTATATCATGCTTCAGCCCTGGGAAGAATTTGCCATTCTACCAGATAATTGCTGTGAAAGCCAAGTTTCTTAACTAAGGAGGTAGTGATTAATGCAGGAACCCATAACCAGTCAACATGCAGAGAGCAAGAAATTATGGTTCACTCAACTCTAAATGAGACATCTGTTTCCTAGCTCTCCCCTCACAGTTCAGGGATCACTGTGGAAGAGAGGTTGTCCATGCTCCTGTAGAACTTCCCAGACCCTTGCACTCACAGACAGGCATTCACAAAGAGAGTGTGTGAAGTTAGAAGGGGAGGATTGGGAGGAGGGGAGAGAATAGGATTATGGATTTTATCAACACACACACACACACACACACACACACACACACACACAC